AACCCTCTGGTCCTGGTTCCCCCGGGACTCGGACCCAGAACCCTCTGCTGGGATGCTGCTAACTATTTGTAAACATTGATCGCAGATAGTCAGACAGTGGAAAACTTCCGTTTAGCTCTTAAAGTATAAACGTGATGTTTCCGGTGGAAAAACGGAGCAGAGGACCCGTAGCCCGCTAACTTAACCCCCCTCCCGGAGGCTCACTCACCGGCCGGGCTGCTCCAGCTGACGGCTCTACCGACTGTCCTTCCGCCGGACTGTTACCGAACAGCGCCACGCCCCTCCCACTGCTGCCTTCACGTACCGCCGAGCAGCTCCGAGCTTTCAGCCTCTCTGGGTAACGTCCAGAAAAGCGTGCAGCCATCTGTGGACTGTCCCCCCAGCCACGTTTAGTGGTCAGACAAGAGCGGAACCAGTTCCTCTTTGCGTTTCTGGGACTATTGGGCAGAAATACGGGAGGGCAGAGCCAGTGCTGTTGCCATGATCCTGAAAGAAGGTCTCAAGTTTGGGGTTTAGCAGATGTTTTCACACTGCAGATATGAGGCAGTTCCCCTGAAAAAGGTATTTTATCTACAACTGTAGATGTAAGAAATATTCTGAAATCATAAGTCTACTTAACCTCATGACACAAACTTTAAATGCACATTCAAGCAGGTAATATAAAGACGATTATTAAGGTATGACATGATGTATTTCATATCATAGTATATATAATACATCAGTAAAAGTTCATATGTGCTCACTTAAACCCACCATCTATTCCATCTGATTCAATGGTATATACTTAGTATTACTACTTTGAATGAAGCCATGTCCTCTTCCAGCATAAAGCATAAAGTTTTTACTTGTAGGGAATTTAAAAAAAGAATGATAATCAAACATGGACAAAGTACACTCTGATCCTTCTGCCAGGATCAGTGTCTAAGTATCAGAAGAAATGTACACGTGTGAAGGCTGATATTCCTGAGAGCAGCTGAAGGGATCACGCCTGAGAGTAGAAGATAACCCCCCCAGGCCTGTTCAGCCCCCCGATAGTGAACAGGTTTCATAACACCAAAGAAGACCAAAGGGGGCACAAGGAAAAACAAGCCAGTCTTTTTAAAGTCTGAGATCAAACGCGTTTTCTGAGTTTTTCTGAGTTTTAGGAGGATTTTTGAGTTTGAACATCCCAGTTTGTGTGAGAAGGCTGTGTCTGAGAGGACTGGGAGAGGATCTGTTACTCTCAGGGCTTCAGTATCTCTCTCTGAGAGCTTTTCCTGGAAGTCTCACTTAAAACCAGGCCTTCCCTAACTTTGTAAAACAGTTAGCAGTAAGCACATTAAGAGCTAAAGTGTTCTCACTGCCAACACACTCGCTGGACTAAGTCCTACTTTTGGGAGAATAAAGAATCAGACTAATGATTCCAATTTAAGCTCAGTGCTTCACACTCACTTTCTTTTATGTTTCTATTATAACAGAAGAATCCCCATGGGACATTTCTAAAGCAAATATGAATCTTTATCAATGAATTGCCCTTTTTTTCTGTAGACCATTAAAACAGGAAGTAGTTTTTCATCCCACTCAAAATCTGTTTAGTTCTTACCAAAACAACAACAACAATAAGCCGTGTCCCCTGAGAGCGTGTCCCCGGTGAACTGGGACATAACCTGCAGCTCCACATGTTCCGCTCTGATCTGCATTTAAAACAGGACCCAGAGGCCACAGCTTCCCATCAAGGTGAACCTGGGTGTTAGGTTGTGGTCTACTGACCCCTTCTGCTGGCTGATGGTTGACCCTTTAAAGCCGAATCCAGACTGCACAGAGAGAAAGTCTTCTTTATTTTGCCCTTTAACAAAATTAAAGAAAATAACAAAAATCCCTTTTGATATTCATCATAATTCAGAAACCCTACATATGAGGCTTATTAAAGCAGGACATGTTCTGTAGAAGTACCTAAAATATGTAGATATTAAAATTTGTATATCATTAATCTGGCACTTTTCAGCTCCTCTTTGTTGAATGAGCCTTTAAGTTGCATTGAAACAGATGTTGTAGCTTTCATTTCTCCCATTTGTTTTCTTGTTGAAGCTTCAGTTTTCGTGCATTTAAATTTTTGCTCTGTGGATCAAATTGAAAACTGATCTGCTATAACACAAAATTTACACAAAATTTCCAAGTGAACTACTGAGTAGTCTTTCTTTACTGTGCAGATATATATCTAAAGGAAACAGATTCCAGGACATTACAACTATTCTGATGCTCTTTTGTACTAGATACACTCTTTAATGGCATCTTGCTTTAACACTGACCTTTGACCCCTACATAAGCTACTGGAACCAGAATGTCCCTGAATGAGTAAATAAAGCGATAAAGGCTTAACGGGGAGTCCAGCAGGCTGCTCTGGTGCTGTATGATCTGATGATGGACTCCAGACAGGCTGATACTGAGTTAAACGCTGCCTTGCTCATCAGCGCTCCCCCGGAGGGTCCGCATGATTACTCTGATTATGTGAGGGACAGTGATGGAGTAGCATCTGTGACCCCCCCAGCCCCCCCTGGGCTAACCTTCCTCACATGTCAGAGCCAGATGGACCAGCTGGACTCTGAGAACCAGGTCCTGGTCTCCTGATGGGGCCCAGAACCAGAACCAGGTCCTGGTCTCCTGATGGGGCCCAGAACCAGAACTAAACCAGGTTCTGCTCTCCTGTTGGGGCCCACAGTCAGAACCTTCATTTTTAAGCAACCAGATTAAAGCTGCTACATAAAATCCTTTGTCCAAGTTTTCTAATGATTTCATATTTGGACAAATAAGGTAATTGAATATACATGAATACTGATAAACATGATTATCATCGATCAGAGCAGTTAGGCTTTGATCCACTTTGTGTTCATTGTTCTGACCCAATAACTCCAACTGCTCCACAGATCAGACTGATAAATAGTTCTGGAGACACGTGCAGCTGAGAGGGTCCCTCTGTTAGGTGCTGTGCCTCTTCTGGCCACTGGGGGGCGCTGCTGGACACCTGTGTGTCTTGCTTTTGTTTTGGTTGTGAGTTTTTTTGCCACCTGCTGTCAGGGGAACAATCAGCCCGTATTTGAGCTTTTTTAAGGTTAAGGTTTTGGTTGTTAGGCTCTGATTATTCTTTATTATTCATCACTATTATTTGTTATGATTCTTTATGATTATACTCTGGATTCTTTTTGTGCTCATGATTCTTAGCGTTCTGGGACTTTGCTTTCGGAATTCTTACGTTTTGGAGAAGTTTGGTGTTCCCAAACATTTTTTGTTCTATTTTGGATCGTTTGTACTTTTATTTCTGAAATACCCCGTACTCCTGTTGTGGATCTTTTGAGTTTTTGTGAAGCATCTGAGGGTTTTTTTTAAGGGAGAAAATGAAAGGAGACCTTTGACTCGGATTTCTTCCATCTACCTGGACTGTAGTCCCCGGGGGAACCAGGACCAGAGGGTTCTGGGTTGGAGTCCCGGGGGAACCAGGACCAGAGGGTTCTGGGTTGGAGTCCTGGGGGAACCAGGACCAGAGGGTTCTGGGTCAAAGTCCCGGGGGAACCAGGACCAGAGGGTTCTGGGTTGGAGTCCTGGGGGGAACCAGGACCTTTCTGGGTGGAGTCTGCATGTTCTCCTGTGTCTGTGGGTTCTCTTCGGGTCCAGTTGATATTAGGGCTACAATTAGAAGAAAAAAAGTGAAAACATGAAGTTTACTTTCTGTAAAAGATGAAGACTTGACTTCTGTAAATGTTTTTTTCCCCCAAAACATTTAAAAAAAGGTGGTTGGAGGCTCTGACACACATTCAAAGTGGAACTAATCAGTTTGTTTTCTGAAGGACAGAATATTCAGCAGGTTGAAAATGAAGATGAAATCAGTGTTTGAGTGGTTCGTTTGTAAGTTCACCTCCCTCCAACAGGACTTCCTGTCCCCCACCTGCTTTAATGATATCCTAATTCTGATCCTCCTCAGCCCCTCCCTCTCTGGGGGCAGGTGGGTTTGTTTTGAGGTATAAAAGGGAAAGTGGGAGGCTGAAGCTCAGAGCTCCATCCAGGCTCCCTGATCCGGATCCCGGCAGAGGGACTGGAGCTGGTCCCGGGGGAACATGGCGTGCTGGTGGCAGAACTCTTTCTCTACAGTGCGCCCGGCTACGTCAGCAGCCCTCTGCTCCCCCTGAGCCCGCCGCAGTCCGCCGCCAGTCGCTGACGCCTCTTCAGGCTCGAGCATACGCGCGTGCATCCACGCCGGGACCCCTAACCGCCGGTCAGCGGAGAGACAGCGGCGCCGTGCCGCTCCATATCGCGCCAAACCGCTCCGTGCCGCGCCACAGGCTCTGGGTCGAGGCTCTGGATTCTTAACAACTCCCAGCTTCTCTCCTCTCGGTTCTACAACCTTCCACCATTACCTCCCAAAGCAAAACGGATGTGTTAGCGCTTGCCTCTCGGACTCTGCAGAGGAAGAGGGTCGCCGCCGCCGTGGTGGGCATAGTCATGGTTCTGGCTCTCATCATCGCGATTCCCCTGCTGGTCCAAACTTCCAAGAGCGACGCGCACTATGAGATGATGGGGACCTGTCGGATGATCTGTGACCCCTACAGCCCCAAGCCGAGCGCCACCTCTCTGGAGGCCCTGCAGGACCTGAGTGCCATGCCTTCTCCAAGCTTTGTGCAAGGAACTAAAGGGGAGCCGGGGCGGCCGGGGAAGCCCGGTCCCAGAGGCCCGCCCGGGGAACCGGGACCACCAGGTCCCAGGGGCCCCCCCGGGGACAGGGGGGACTCCGGGAGGAGCATGTATGCGGGAGTTCTGTCCACGGCGCAGACGGACACCAGCGGGGAGCTGGGCTCCGCCATCGGCGGGGCCAAGATCGCCTTTTACGTGGGCCTAAAGAACCCTCACGAGGGATACGAGGTGTTGCGGTTCGATGACGTCGTCACGAACCTGGGGAACCACTACGACTCCACGACCGGCAAGTTCACGTGCCAGGTGTCCGGGATCTACTACTTCACCTACCACGTGCTGATGCGCGGAGGGGACGGGACGAGCATGTGGGCAGACCTGTGCAAAAATGGGCAGGTAAATGCTGTTTGACCAGCCGTGCCACAGCGCGCTCAAACAGCGCGTGGAAATGTGCGCGCTTGACGCGCGGGTGCCATTACGCATCCCGTCCGCCGCCATGACGCACGACTCAGGATAGGAGCCTGGAGCCCAGCTGACCGCTTTATGCTCCACAGAAACTCTAAAAGTAACATCTGTGGTTTTGCTGATTGTTGATGGCTCCGTGCACACTCTGGCGCTCGTGCGCGTGCTCACTCTCTGTCCCTGTGCACCCAGGTCCGGGCCAGCGCCATAGCGCAGGACGCAGACCAGAACTACGACTACGCCAGCAACAGCGTGGTCCTGCATCTGGACTCCGGGGATGAGATCTACGTGAAGCTGGACGGCGGGAAGGCGCACGGCGGGAACAACAACAAGTACAGCACGTTCTCCGGCTTCCTTCTCTACCCAGACTGACGCACGACCGGATCCAGAACCGGCTCCGACGGAATCCACGGACGGCTCCTGAAAGAGAGGATAACCTTATATGAGTTCAAAAGTTTTGTTAGGGGTAATCTAGATTTCCTCTCTTCACGTCAGGTTTTAGGACCAAATAATCCCACACAGCTCCAGCCGTGTGGATTTTCCTTTGGGAGCAGCTGACACGTTTTAGGGCTGTTCTTTGAGAGTAGGCTCATTAAAGCGTGTGCACGCTGGGGGAGCAGCGTGTGTCACGGGCAGAGGTGAGGTGTGTTGTTGGTGGTGTGTTGACCTGAAAACGTTGTTGTGGACATAACTGTGGCATGTGTGACTTATACTCCCCTATGTATGCATGTGTGTGTATTTACTCTAA